AAACACTGGGGTAGAGTGTTAGAATAGAACCAGAGAGCCCCACTTCTCTCAGCCTTGAAGTTCAATAAATAATCCTAAACCAGACGTACGCCCTTAGTCTAACCCAACTCATTTTTGAGCATTTTTGTGAGGATAAAACATCAGAGCAGCATGTAGCAAAGCTGCATAAAAATGCAATAAAATCTTCTTTGTGACATTTTTGAAAGGTTGATGATTTCTGAACATTGTTATCACCTTCAAAATATTTGACGTTCTTGACTGAATGAAAGATTAGCAGCACAGAAAAGGAAGAATGCAACAGAATGGTTGAGAATCCAAGTTCCCCACCTGTACACCTGAAACTGGGTTTACAGGATCAGCTGTAAATATATCTATCCTTCCACTTAAAAACTATATTTATCAGTATAACTATATATATAAAATCTGTACATGGCTTGAATCTCTAAGAGATGTGGGGCTGATTGTTGTCTCCCATATACCCCCTTTTTCTAGAGCTACCAAGTATTTTCAAGACTAACACCTGACGAACCATAGTTCAAATTAAGGCCTAGGTTTTCTCCAATCTTAAACAAAGTGAGAGCTCTGCAAAGAACTATGAGGTTGAGTTCCACCTTCCTAGTTACACATGGAATCCTCCATGGGACATGCCAATAAACATATATTTATTTATTATATTTCTCTTCTTTCTCCAGGGAGCTCAAGAGTAAAGCATACAGCCCTTCCTCTATCATTTTACTTCCCAACACTTTTTGTGAGGCAGGAAATGCTGAGGAAAAAAGTATTTGGCCTGTGGCTGAGTAATGACCGGAATCAGAGTTACCAGCCTCAGTACAGACTCTAGCCACTGTACTATGCTGCCTTATAGTCCAAATCAGCATGCTCCCCAAAGAGTACAATATATTAAAACAGAGTGTAATTCCCCTAGAACAGAGCGCTAGTAATTTCTAACACTCTAGGTGCAGAATTGCATTATAAGCAGCCAACAATGCACAACCTCTAGAGAAACAAGAGATCAAATATTTAAGTTCTGAGTTCAAATTCCACCTTAGTACAACAAAGTGTCCTTTGGAGAGAAACTGTCTACAGAGTTCAGCTTTTCCACTATTTCTGGAAAACCACACTGACAGGGATGCTACAACTGATGGTTGTAATTACGTAGCTCAGTTTGATTATCATCATATTTAGCACTGATAATCAAAAGGCAAGCTGTAAGTTGTTGAGGAAGGAGATGATAATATCACACAATGCAGAGGATCAGTGCCAAAACACCTGGTGATAAAATATGAACACAACAACTTCTTGGGACACAACTCCCCATCTCCCTTCTAACTGCTGACTCCACCCCGTTGAAAACAAGCAAGGAAAACCCTTAAAAAGCAAGTGGCTGGACCACACCAACTGGAGACCGCCGTGTCTTCCACTTCTGGACCTTTCTGACACCCACTTAATTGCATTACGCGTGCTGCAATGTGGATTTTGCACAGCCAGAGCATCTCTTCTCAGTGCGCACGGTTTTAAAGCTAAATTACTCGAGGCAGATCTTTTCTAAAGCTGAATACATCCATTCCCCTCAAGGGAGGCCATCGTAAAACACTACAGTATGCATGTAGAAACTTTTAATCAAAATTAAAACGCCTACAACTGGAAGAGCAGAGCCCTGACACAGCTGCCCAGCTTGTCTCAAGCTCATCTAATTGCCAGGAACATCTGCTAGGAAACTTAGGGGGGAGCCCTTAGAAGGAGATTAATGGAGCGCCCCCCCAAAAGTGAATCTGAGATGAAAGGCAAGTTCCAAAAATGGAAGGGAGGGAGGTGAACAGGCCACCACGGGGTGTCCCAATACCTCTCCATAATTGGTAGGACCAGGAGGTCCCCATTCCCCCTGGTTCAGCAACAGGCTGTTAAGTTTCACAATGTTTATCCCAACTAACTTAAAAAGGGATTCCCCCTCTCCCTACGCCCACGGGGTAACCCCAAAGTGATGTCAAACCTTCTCCCGCCAATAACGCAAACACGGTTCTCCCCACCCCACCTCTTCCTGTACCCGGCGGAGACCCCGTCCTCCCCCTCCTCTTGGTGGCAGCAGTGGGATATTGCCCCGCGCATGCGTGGCACCAGTTGCACCCCAGGGCCAGGGGCCCGCGTTGCTTAGAAGCAAAAACTGCCCGTCTTGCTTTACGCATGCGCGAGGCGGCCCGGGCCCCCGGGCCCCTTTCCGCCGGGCCCTTTCTCTCACCCCACGGAGGCGCTTAATCAACGCGCTCTTCTGCCCGCTCTTAGCCAGGCCACGCTGCTCCAAAGCCGCCTTCAGGTCGGCGACCCTCAGCGCCTGAAGCGGCCTCCCGTCCAGAGTAACCTCCTCCCCGTCCGCCATCTTGTGTGGCGCTGCTGCCTGCCCTCCCCGGAGCTTCGGGGGCGTTCGGGAACTTCCGGAGACGGCCTCGGCGCTCTGATGTGACCTCCGACACCGCGTTCGAACTCGCTCGTTAATGTCCGCCCGCCTTTCGTTAAGAGTCGTTGATTTTCGGAGACTTCCGTTCGGCGTTCAGAACCCCTGTGGGAAGGGGAGGAGGGAGCGTCGAAGCTGCCACTCTCGCTCGGCGACTCTTTCCGGGCTACTTCGGGCATTTCCGGGTCTTTCGAGTCCCCTTCCCAACCGGGAAGTAAGTTCTGAGAAGGACTCGGTAACTTTCGGAAATCTCCGGCATCTGGGGGCCGCGACGGAAACTCTCGGCAACTTCCGCAGAGCGGAAAGAAAGCGCCTTCGTCCCCCAGCCTCGCGGGCGGGCTCGGGTTCGGGTCTTTCCGGATGAGCTCGCCTGCTTCCGTCGCCCCGCCCGGGGTTCTTCCTCCTCCAGGCGCGGCCGTGGAGAAAGACGCGGGGAGCTCGTTTGGCAACGATGGGAGAGACGCGGATCTGAGCCGAGGCAGGTGAGAATGCAGCGCGGGCTGGACTCCGGCTGCAGGGGCTGGTCGACCCTCGCGGAAGCGAAGGGAGCTGCTGCAGTTCCAGCAGCTGCAGGCTGGGCGTTTGGCAGTCGGGGCACCCCTGGGGGCGACGGGGTTGGACTACAGCTCCCATCGTGCCAAGCCAACCGAGGGCCGGTGCCTCAGGGGCTGCATTCCAACAGTGGGCGAGGCCCCAGCCCGACATTCAGGGCCGGTGAGTGGCCCTTGATCTACCGGTCGGGGGTTCTGCTTTGCACGCACCCAGATCCCAACCGGATTCGTGCAGGGCTCGCCCAAAACGTGGGGTTGCACGACACCAAAGCTGGCTTGTTGGGGTCTCTGTGCATCGTATCCCCACCCATCTTAAAGTTGCCAAGGTTGAAAAACACTGCTGTGAAAGTACATTTATGAAGATTCTCAGTCCTCCATTGTCTAGAGGTTGCATCATGGCCACTGGATTTCTTTTCTTTTCTGGTTAGAGACGTTTCGCTGCTTGTTGAAGGCACGAGAGGGACAGCATAACATAAAAAATGAAAATGCCCCCAAGGGGAAGGGTACATTGAAGGGACAAACTGGGATTAGTAGAGTCTTTGAGATGGAGATGTCTACTCCTAATCCCTCACGTTATGGGGTGTTAAGTGTTGCCTTCCTGGTGAACTTTCGGACTGTTCTTAATTTTCTTGGGGAGTGTTGAAAGGGCAGCCTGGAAAACGGGGGACGAGTTGTGTCTGGGGCCTCCGCCTCTATTGAGGGAAGGATTTTCCACTTTGGCATAAAGGGATTCCTTCACACCTCTCTCAAACCACCTATCTTCTCTGTCCAAAACGTGAACGTTATTGTCCTCAGATGAGTGTCCTTCTTCTTTTAGATGAAGGAGAACTGCTGATTCTGGTCCTGTGTTGTTGCTCCTCCTGTGCTGGGCCATCCTCTTGTGTAAAGGCTGTTTGGTTTCCCCAGTGTAGAGCTCTGAGCTTAGCTGGGCTTAGTCTTAGCTAGGTGAAGACAGGACTAGAACTGACCATCTCCCGGTTTCTAGCCCAACACCTTAACCACTACACCACGCTGCCTCTTGGTAATCTGAAAAAGCACCTTCAATGTTTGGGATCCTACAGTTTTTAACTGGGTTTCTTCTGCCACGCGAGTCTTCTAGTCTGGTGTGGCACTTCCCCTTGGGGGTATTTTTATTTTTTATGTTATTTAATCCATTCGGTTTATTTGTTAGATGCATTTCCTGCCTGTCCCCCAGAAGCTTGAGTTGACATATATAGTATACCTTGTTTCGTTTTATCCCCTTTGCAAGACTGTTTGGGCTGAGGTGAGGCTCCACGGCTGTGGGTGGATTTGCACCCAGCTCAACCCTTCAACCGGTACGCCACAGTGGCTGTCTTGCTACTCTGCCTAAGAAAATCTGCCTCACTTCTGCATACTTACTGTATGGCTGTATTTTTCTTAGTCCGTTGTAAATTTCAGGCGTTTCCAGCATTCCCATTCCTGCAGCACCTGTCCCTAGATCAGTGTTTCTCAGCCTCAGCAACTTTAAGATGTGTGGACTTCAACTCCCATGCTGGCTGGGGAATTCTGGGAGTT